GTTTCTGCGTAATCTCAAAAATTGTCCCTTAGGGATGTTAGTCAGCCAAGGTTTGTGATGACAGCTACTGATCTCAATGTAGCTGTTAATATCGACTTGTTTAAAAAAAGTGCGAGTATTTAGAGTATTATTACACGTGTAGATATTCAGATCCAAAAAATCAATACTTTTATTACTCACACTTTTGGTTAAAAAGATTCCCCAATCGTTACGATTGAGAGAATTAAAGAATTGGTTAAAAAGGTCCTCAGATCCCTTCCAAATAATAAAAATATCATCGATATGCCTTTTGTATAGGACCAGGTTTGCACCACAGACTGTGCAAACCTGTCGATGATATTTTTATTATATGGAAGGGATCTGAGGACCTTTTTAACCAATTCTTTAATTCTCTCAATCGTAACGATTGGGGAATCTTTTTAACCAAAAGTGTGAGTAATAAAAGTATTGATTTTTTGGATCTGAATATCTACACGTGTAATAATACTCTAAATACTCGCACTTTTTTTAAACAAGTCGATATTAACAGCTACATTGAGATCAGTAGCTGTCATCACAAACCTTGGCTGACTAATATCCCTAAGGGACAATTTTTGAGATCACGCAGAAACTGTACGAATGTACAAGATTTTTCCAACCAAGCTGAAACCAAGCTGAACTTTTAAAGAAACAGTTTGTGCAAAAAGGATATCATAAAAATTTTTTAGATACTCATATTCAAGAAATATCATCTTTGGAAAGATCTCCTCTTTTAAAATATAAAAAGAAAGAAAAATCTCAAATGGATGTACAAACGAAACAGATTCCCTTTATTTTCAATTACTCAAGTAATGTAGGTATTATTAAAAAAATTATAAATAAAAATTGGGATATTTTAAAACAGGATGAAGAAGTGCAGGAATTTTTAGGTTCCAAGCCTAAGTTCATTTTTAGAGGTGCAAAAAATTTTAAACAAATTTTAACTAGTAGCTTTTTAGAGAAAACTTCCTCAAACGACAATTTTTTAACCAGTTGGACAAAAACACAACAAGGTTTTTATCACTGCGGGATGTGCAATGCATGCAAAAATACAGATACAAAAAGAAAAAACATAACAATTTTTAACTCATTCAGTACTAAAAAAGAGTTTAAAATTAAATCTATGATTACTTGTCATTCAAACAATGTCATATACTTATTAAGTTGTACATGCGGCCTCCAATATGTGGGAAAAACATCTAGACCTTTGAAAGTTCGAATAGGCGAGCATGTTAGAAATATTAAAAGAGGATTTGTAAATCATAGTGTATCAAAACACTTTTTAGAGAAGCATGATTCAAACCCGAAGTTTTTAAATTTTTGTGCGATTGAAAAAATTGAGCCCCACTGGAGAGGAGGAGATATTCCTAGAAAATTAAGTACCCAGGAGGTAAAATGGATATTTGAAATGTGCACTTTATCACCCTTGGGCCTTAATATTGATTTTGAAATTAATAGTATTTTATGAAACATTTTATTATTAGTGCCTCTTAATATTATACTATATATCTTTAATTACAATGTTCTGAGGGCTACTTATTAACTCCCTATTTGTTCTATTTATTCATATTTTTACTAATTTAATACTACCTTAATCCACTCCTTTGTGTGTTCAAATATGCATGAAATAAATTTACACAATAAATCTATTTTTATATACATGAAGGATTTCTAACTATTTCGTTTGTATATTTTACTATTTCCCTTCTCTTATATTGGAACATTATGAACTGAGGGCATTTTGCCCTATCTTAAATGGACTCTCAGAATGCCGATCATGTGACTTACACGGACCGGGAACCCCACGTCACAGGAAGTGACGCGCCGGAATAAAAGTGGGCGGAGCCAGCAGACGAAACACTCCCAACTGAACCTTACTGAATGGATAATGTGATTTTCTGTGAGGGAGCCGGCGGACATGTTGGGGAGGGCTGGTGGGACCGGTCTATAGCCGGAAGTGCGGCCATGTTTTGTTTGGCATGACACTTCGGGCCATGACCATATATGGAAGTGGGTGGAATTTTTTAACATATGTTACTAATTATTGCACTTATTAATTGATATCCTCTGATATATAAAGAATCTTGAGCTCAGAGTGAAATTAGATGCACTTGAGAAAGACCTATGTATGGTTGAAACGCGTTGTGCTTTTATACTACTTTTTTGTATATATATACACTTTTTATTCTAACAATTTCTCACAATAAAAATAACTCCTTACTTATTTTTGGAGTCTGCTGCTAATTCATCAGTTCCAGGTTCCTGTGGTTACACCTATACCAGTTACCTGTGTCTCAAGGAAGAGACGAGAAGTGCCATAAGTTTAGAGCCAACTTCTAAAAGGCTCTGGAAATTGTGAGTGAGACCCAAACTTTCCTCATTTTATATATTGTATATATACAGGTTACACTATGTATATTTTATTTACCTATGTACAGGTCACAAGAAAATTTTAATGTGTATGATTACCCGAAACATTATTTTAATACAAGGTAACACTCATTATATTCTGTGTGCGCTAATCACCCTTTTTCCTTTTCTTTTTATTATATCACGTTTGTAAGTGTATTTGGTGACACTACACTTGGGAAATTTTAGCTGCACCAGGTTTGACTATTTTTAGCGCCTCTGTATCCTTTTTTATCTTATTTAAATAATTGAATAAAAGAGTCCAAATAGACAAGGAGTCTCTATAGTACCGAAACGCGTTTCGCCCTGTGCCAGGGGCTTCCTCAGTCGGTGATGCTTCCTCTCTGCTTTACTGTCCTTTTATGCCTGTGTTTAGCCGGTATTTGGAATGCAAAGTTTTTCGCGGTGGAACGCACTTCCGGTTTCGTCACTTCCGGGTTATGGCGTCACCCCGTTGCGGAAGTCAGCCCGGTTTCCGGCATGGTGACATCATGTTGGCATGGCAACGAACCGGCTGGAATGCACACTATATGACGTGTGCGTTCCATTTCGGAACATTAGTAATACAGAATGAGAAAGCATACATAAATAGCGAAAACATTATAAGTGCATCAAATAATCTTTCTATTGCCCCAAACCGTTTAAAAGGTGACATAGTGATAAATAAAGTGCTAATATATTGTAGATTTTCATTAAGATTAATTTGTCAATCAATATTATAATATTTAAAAGTGCCTATACTTGTATTCATAACTTTATCTTTTATGTAAGTTAAATTCTATTTTGCTCAATTCAATATTTAATAATAATGAATAAAGTGTTTTTATGTTATGAATTAATTGATCTTATAGTGTTTTAAAGTGCCAGTGCCTATATTAATGGAAATTCATTTTTGTTTCACTAGATTCATTATTGATACCTCAGAATAAAGATATTTTACTAATCTTCTTATGCAGATAAAATTAATTTTTTTTTAATTTTTTTTTCTCCCTCTCCTTTTCTTCCTCTCCTCCTTTCCCTCCCTTTTTCCCTCCTTATTTTCTTCCTCATTTATAAGTATTTAAAAAAAATGACATGTTTCAAAATCGGAATTCAAGCCGTGTGGGATTGAGAGTATTAAAATTAAAAATAAATTTCATCTCCTCTAGCCCTATTTTTTTGATATAATCACCTCCTCTCCAGTCATGTGTAACTATTTTTAGGGGGCAAAAAAATAATTGGTCAGGGTTTTGGTTGTGGTGAGTCTTAAAATGGTTGGAGACACTGTGGGTCTCCAAACCTTTTCTGATGTTCCGTATATGTTCAGAGATTCTGATGTGGAAATACATACACACAATTGCATTGGCTCTCAGGTCCAGGACACTCCCATACAAAACAAGACAATCCCTCCCCTATGCCTGGGCGATAATTGAGTCAGGTACCGAACTAAATTATCTCCAGACACAAAAAACACAACTTTTAACAACACCCCAAAAGTACTCCCAAAACCCATGGAAACCCCACAAAGGTTAGATCCCCTAATAGCCCGGATCTGGGTGACCAACATATCCATAAATCATCCAGATCGGTTCAGGGGTTCGGGAGTTCCATGGAAGTCATAATTTTGACCGATCGTGCACATGGTCCTATGCCCAAAATAGTTCCAGGGAATCAAGGCTAACGATCGGTCTCTCTGTCTGGAGTACAAAAGTACATAACTCACATGAACATAGCCTTTTAAGGTTCATTGGGCAAGGTACATTGCAGGGACCATAGTCCTGAGGTAAGAGGCTGGCCGGCAGGCCCCTCCAAGAACCTGTGACGAGGTTAAGTTCATCACAGTATCAAAGATTGCCTAGTTGCTAGTTTTAACCAGTTAGTATACATGATTTTACACCTCCATTATAGTAATAGGAGGGTCTTATTTATGCACACATGATTTTTATTTTATTTATTTTAACTATTAGGCAAATAGCTGTCATTTTTTTTTTGAACTGGGCTTGTATTTGAAGCATTTGGTCCGGTTAGAAATGCAACATCTGGACATTATTAAATAGCATGAACAATGTCTAAATCTTGCAGGCCATTGGCCTCATAATTAGCCGCATGATGTTGCCCCGATTCAGTACAGGGCCATTGGGAATTTAGTGAATAACCGTGCAAACAGGAAATTGTGTTGAATTGAGCTCAACATTGCAATACTTGAGTGAAATATCTGATTACACAAGGGTTAGTCAACCTTTTAATACCTACCACCCACTTTTGTATCTTTGTTGATGGTAACATTTCCTTACTTCCCACCAGTGCTGCAATAACATATTTTATAGCACAAGTGCAATTTTTTTTTAGAAAGGAGTTTAAAAAAAAAAAAGTACTTAAATGATCTATTTTCCCCCCTTTTTTTCCATTTTCTATTCTACTTTTTTGTGAGGTGCCATGTGTGTGTGAAGGGTGCTGTGTGTGAAGGGTTTGGAGGGTGTAATATGTGTGTGTGTGCGCGTGTGAAGGGTATAGTGCGTGTGTAAAAGGTGCAGTGTGGGGTTGGTTGCCATAGGAACACATACAAACAAGAAGAGAATGAGGAGGGAAAGACAAGACCAGAGAGAGAGAGAGAGACATTGATCGTATCAGGAACCCAAACGAGCTGTTTACCCAGGTGAATCATTTTTGGAACATGCTAACATGCTGAATGACATGGCTGAAATCAGCCCTGAGAGTTACCAGAAGTTTATACAGAGGCACATTAAAGAGGGAAATTATTTCATGGCCCCACCAGAGCCGCATCTCTGTCTTCATACCAAAATATTGGATCCAGAGGTGAAGGTTTTGTTCATCAACATTTGTAGTTGGAGCAGCGTTCCAGCTCCTCAGTCTGAGGCACATCCTGTGCTAAATAAAGTTAAGAAGGATTCAATAGAATCTGATCAACTGATATGCCCGGCAATGAAATACATTGAGGAGAAATACAAAGTCACCCTTTGCCATTCGTACCGCCTGGCTCCATTCAAACTCAAGGGAAAAGTTAAAAGGATAAGAGAGAGTCTGCAAGAGACAGAGAAACAAGCTGACATCAAGACGGAAGACTCAACGAAAGTGAATGATTAGTTGCTAGAACAGCTTGGCTATTAAAGGAGAAGAGCAGGAGAATAACCCATCCAGAAACGGCAGAGCAAGCTTGATTGAAGAGATCTCCAGCACTGAGATACAGGAGGAAGGCTTGCTTATTTCTCCCAAGCATGACCTCTGTGTGATGAAGGATGAATCTGGGTATCCCACAATGCTGACTCTGAAAATTGACCTGGAGAATGTCCATTCTGTCGCAGAGTGTGAGCTGTGTGTCTCCAAGGATGACTTGATGTTTGAAGTACCTGGAAGATACTAGCTTACACTTAAATCTGCCACAACAAGTTAACAAAGACACAGGTAAAACACAACTCCACAAAGAAAAGCATTTTCTAGCTGTAACAATGCCAGTACTTAAACACATCACAAACCACTAAAGCATCTCCGTGACCGCCATCAAATCTTTGCATGCAATGAAATGTATGCTTTATATACCTTTTAAGGACTGTAAAATGTTCCTCAGATTCTGCAAATATATCTGCTCATTTCCCACAGGTGGTAGTCAGTGGATCAAGCATGACATATAAAAGAAATTTCAGAATTAGTATGTGTTTAGTCTAATATTTGGCCCTATGTTTTTTTTTTTTTGGTTTTTTTAATAAAGAAAAATGACGTTATATACTTTTTAGGTGCTTGTGCAGAAGTGTCTCTTTCTAGTCTATAGGGACTGATCTTAAGAGATAATGGGATTTGTACTGCCAATCATTACACAGAGTGACTAGAACAATAAACCAATAGCTGACAGTTTATACATAGTCTCGTTCACAGTTTAATAAACAGATTTGAGTTTTAGAATTAAGGAAAAAAGAGAACTGTGCCTGTACACAGTGAAGCTTGTCTTTTTCTATGGAGTTTATTATAGTGGTTATGGTGCAAAACCCACCTCCAGCATTATCAACCTATCAGTGATAACTAAGTTTGTTCATGTTCAATAGATAATATAATAAAAATAAAAATCTTAAAGGCTTTTGGCAAAAATAAATAAGGTGCTGTATGTTGGTGAGGGGTGCAGTGTGTGTGTAAAGGGGGCAGTGCATGTGTGAGGGGGCAGTGCGTGTGAGGGGGCTGTGTGTGTGATGGGGGCATCTGTGTAAGGGCTGTGTAAGGGCAGTCTGTGTGTGTCAGGGGGCAGTCTGTGTTTGTGTGTGAAGGGTGTATAGGGTCTATGTTGTGTATAGATGTGAAAATCTATCTTCCCTTCTTCTTACCTTTTACCAGGGAAGGGGGACATAATGCTGCAAGCCCTGGTGGTCCAGTTATGGCATGTTCACTTTAGCCTGCAGCTCCTCCAGCTGCAGGCTGACTCTCCTATCCTCCTGCAAGCACAGCACTGTATCGGAGCGTTGCCATGGTAATGTGCGGCAACACTCAGACCATCCTGCTCGCGGGAGGAACACAGAGCCTCCCAGATCATTCCCTCTGCTGGTCCTTCACTCTTCCCACTTCCCTCACCAGCTCAAGTTAGCTTACAACAAGGTTGGGTCTGCATGGGCCGGCAGGGTAGAGAAAAGGATCTCCCCTACCAGCCTTGGTCCACAGTCATCGAGGCCCACTGTGCATTTTCTGCAGAACCCACCACCGCCCACCTGAAATCCCAAACCACCCACTAGTGGGCAGTAGGGACCAGGTTGACTACCCTTGGAGTAGACAATTATCTCAAGCTCACTTTAAAAAAACTTAAAAAAAATACTATAAAAAAACTATTATTTTTATAATTTTACCTGTCCTTTTTAAATTATGTTATATGTTTTTGCTCTTCTTATAAACAAAGTGTTTCTGTATCTCTTTTGAAATTACTATTATGATATTTTCACAACTTTGCATTTTAGAGAAGTTGTGTCTTTCAGAAACCAGCCTCACTAGAAACAAAAATAGTGGTTAAGCTGATATAAAACAAAGCAATTACATACAGAATTATAAAACATTAGAGGATCACTCCACAAACATAAAGCACTTCTTTATGTGTGAGGATATCCTAATTTTAATTGCAGTTCATAAAACTTAAGTTAATTACTTTATTTCTCTGGTGGGCCAGTGATCATTGCTGACCACTGAGGTAGGCTAGGCAGTCATTCTTGGAAAGCCATGTACTGTTAGACACAGCTCTGCAATCATGCACACAAGCAACAGCTCTCGACTGGCTAGGACTTCTCATTGAGCTGTATTACCGTTCAATGAGAAGTATATGAATTGGAAAGTTCCCCATAGTCTTTTGGTTCTGAGTCAGAATCTTCTTAACAAGAAGCCTCTGATTGGTCATTTCCCCGGCAGAGACTGATAGTATGTGCCGGGCAATAAGGAAAGGGATTACTAAGACTGCAGACAAGAGCTCTGCAGCTTTTGCGAGCTGTTTTAGATATTCTCCCCCAAATATGCATAAATAAGTGCATGAACATTTTCATTGGAGGTATATCTTCTATATAGTGATTTTTTTTATTTTCATTTCCCTTTTGGCCAGTGGAGTATCCATTTTAATAAATTTTATCAGAAAACTAACTACCTGCTTTATCCACTAGGTGTCAGTAAAGGACACCATAATAATTATTTTTAAAAATTGAGAATTTCTAAAGGTTTAGCAAATGTGTGTTTTTGTGTATTTACATCACAGAACTGTGGGCATTATTTTTATTCTTTATAATCATGAGATCTGAATCTTTGGTGTTCTACCATTAAATATATTTGCCTATATAAAAGCAAGAGGATATTCAGCGCTTGTCCAGTACTTGTACAGTCCAAAGGGCAGGTAGATCACCAAATCTGGGGTCTCTCTTGTCCCGTAGAGAAGTAGATAAAAACATAGAGGGAGGTGTAGCACCTGGAATGTCCTTGGATTGTGCATATATAACCATAAAAAGGATGAGAAATAGGAAACTGATAGTGAAGTACATAACAAATACAGTAAGGTGAGGGTAAATAAAATTATATGCACTCACACTTTATAGGAGCTTAGGTGCAGCTCCAACTTAGACGCTTGGGCGTAATAATCCCTGCCAGAGGATATGGTGGAGTACAGACTCTATAGGAGGTTATTGTGGATATTGCTTCTCTTGTAGATATGTAGGAAAAATCATATATATATATATATATATATATATATATATATAGAAATATGCCAGATTCAATATTAAAATGTATAGCTGTAAAAGATGTGCACTCACGTGTATGGAAGCCTATAGAGTGTCTCCACAGGTATGGCATGAAGTGGTATGATCCCCACTCTAGGATATAGGTGATGGTCTCTCTCCGATTATATAAGTAAAAGAGAAAATAAAACCACAATAGTGTACACCAGGGGTCCTCAAACTGTGGCTTTCCAGATGTTGCTGAACTACAACTCCCATGATTCTTTGAATTACATAGAGAGCCCGAGAATCATGGGAGTTGTAGTTCAGCAACATCTGGAGGGCCACATTTTGAGGACCACTGTTGTAGACTGTAAAAAGTGATAAATAAAATGAAATAGATAAAAACTACTCACATTTGATAGAGCAAATAGGGATTGATCTGTCAAACAGGCTTAGGTGGTATTATCCCCACCGAGGATATGGAGTACAGGAAACCAGCAGCAAACAGGTTCAATAAAAAAGTACTTTTATTGATAAAAACTAATAAATTATAAATAAAAAAAATACGGTAAAATAACTATATAAAACAATATTAAAATACACTTAAAGCACTTCACTATACAATGGCTTTCTCAAAAGTCTTTGCATATATGTAAGCTTTTGGCTTGCACCTGGACATTTAAAGCTTCTGCAATGAATTTCAGCAGCTTTGGATATTTGTATATATGTAATGTAACATGAACTGTGTACTATGTGAAATAAATGTTATTGAGTTCTGGGGAAATCATAATAAACTATGAGACCATTTATGGAGGATATATATATATATATGAGAAGGCATTATTTTCACTTACAAGATGCTTCCTAATTGTCTAACCCTAGATGATTACTGACTACATGATGGTTAGGGTTTCAAGGCTAGGGATAATGTTTCTTTAATATCAAGGCAGCACCGTGACATAAATCCAGCTTCTACTTGCAGTTAGATCACTAAGTCAGTCCCTCTTCCATTAGTGATATTGTACATGAGAAGCTGGGGAGAAATAATCATCCTGTTTCTGGCTCTACAGCTACATTCAATATTATTATTTGAAAAAATGGTAGAAAGTTTAAATATCACATATATTCTTCACAATCTGTACAGTGTGTATCAATGCCACCCAAAGATTATGGGTGCACTGCTCGTTACAAAAAAAATTAATTTTGGGATTGAAAATATTATCTTCGAATTAAAATTAACAAGAAGTGAAAAGGGCAAGTGAAAACAGAACTCTTAAAATACCAGCAAATGTTTCCATTTGACAAAAGTAGTAAACATACATTAACGTTATTTAAGAAGTAATAATAAAAACAATTTAAAAAAATAGGAAAAATAGCGCACTAACACATTTAGGAGGTCTGGGTTTGGAGTCACACTCAAAATAAAAGTGGAAAAACACACTACTGGCTGATCCAACTTTGATGTAATGTCATTAAAACAAGTCAGAATGAGTCTCAGTAGTGTGTGTGGCCTCCACGTGCCTGTATGACCTCCCTACAATGCCTGTGAGGTGGTGGATGGTCTCCTGAGGTATCTCCTCCCAGACCTGGACTAAAGCATCTGCCAACTCCTGCACAGTCTGTGGTGCAAGGTGACGTTGGTGGATGGAGCGAGACATGATGTCCCAGATGTGCTCAATTGGATTTAGGTCCGGGGAACGGGCGGGCCAGTCCATAGCATTAATGCCTTTGTCTTGCAGGAACTGCTGACACACTCCAGCCACATGAGGTCTAGCATTGTCTTGTATTAGGAGGAACCCAGGGCCAACCGCACCAGCATATGGTCTCACAAGGGGTCTGAGGATCTCATCTCGGTACCTAATGGCAGTCAGGCTACCTCTGGCGAGCACATGGAGGGCTGTGCGGCCCCCCAAAGAAATGCCACCCCACACCACCCCACGCCAAACCGGTCATGCTGGAGGACATTGTAGGCAGCAGAACATTCTCCACGGCGTCTCCAGACTCTGTCACGTCTGTCACATGTGCTCAGTGTGAACCTGCTTTCATCTGTGAAAAGCACAGGGCGCCAGTGGCAAATTTGGCAATCTCAATTTTGCTATGCAAAAAAACTTGATCTACTTCTAAAATCTTAAATTTTTACACGTTTAATGTATAAGATAAGACAAAGTAACTCAGATAAGCAAACTATATCAAGGGAAAAAATAAAGGTCATGCAAATCACACTGGGTGCCAGTCAAGTACAGCTAAAATCTCAACTTCACAATCAAATGACTAAATAAACTTTAATACTGGTGACATAACCAGTCACTCCTTTGACTCCTTTAACTTAGAGTCTAGATCTAAGGGGTTGAGCATATTAAAATGCATGAAAGAGTCAGGAGTACACTGCAG